CAGCCAAAGCCAGCGGTGGGGCACAGGCTGCACACTCTCACCCCTGTAGGAGCAAGACCCACGTTTGCATTCACTCCATGCTAATCTCAGTCTCGCTTCTCCCACTCCTCCCAAGTGTGCATCAGCACAAGCACCAGACCAGTGCCACTCAGCAGGGCTTCAGCCCAGGCAACTGCTCCAACATGCATCCTCTTCCTCCACAAGCCTGAGCTCTTCAAAGATCAGGAGGCAGAAACAGGACACGAGGGGCAGCTTCAGGACACAGAACTTCATAGAAGGGTGCATTGAGTCAGCAGCAGGGAACAAAAATCCCTTGTGGCAAGCAGCAAAGTTGTTTCTTGGAGAGCAAGGGGGTTTGAAACTGGAACAAACGATTTAATATGCAACCAGACCCTGTCTCTGCAGCTTGTGGGCCAGCAGAGCCACACCGGCAGGTACTGCATCTGCTGTCTTAAGTCCAGCAGCAGCATGGAGCCAGAGCTGTGGACCATCTCATCAACTCCAGCCTATGACGGGGTCATGCACTGCAACATCGCTGAGCTCCTCTGCTAATTAAATCAGGTTTTGCTCAGGCAGTTTCCCTGGTCTTCTCACTGCCTAGTAATTGTCAGGTGCAATCAGAAAAATCAACAGAGAGCTGTCCAGCCTTTCCCAGACCACCTTTGCCATATTCTGTCCTTCTCAGCATGACTTCTACACCCTCGCAGAGCAGGAGGCAGGTGCTGGCACAGGGATCTTGTGCTGAGGCTTGGTGGTCCTGGTCCAGGCTGAGCAGAGATGTCAGACACAGATCACTGAGCCTGGGAGCCCCAGGGCTCTGGGTCCAGCTGAGTCTTGGCATGCAGGGGACCTCAAGGATGGGAGCAGCACGAGGTTCCACTCACCCTGTCCCACAGCGCAGGCTTCGGGAGCAATGTGGTGATGCCCAAACTCCACCCCTGGCAGTACACACAGCCGTGGCTGCCGTGCCAGGACAGACACTGTGCCACCCAATGGTGGGCGAAGACAGGTGGGTTCCCATCCACAGGGAAGGCAGAGATGAGAATGGCGCAGTCCAGCACCCTCCTTCAGTGCCATGACAAGCACTGTCACCAGGAGGGGCAGGGCAGGGCAGGAACCTGTGGCACTGCTGCACACCTGCAGAAGGGGCAGCCAGGCAAGGCAGGCCAGGCAGGCTGGGATCAGGACCACCTCTTGCTTCTCCACAACACTGTCCCCAGTGCCATTTGACAGCACTCGCCACTCGTCCTCCTTGTCCTGGGAAGGATGGCTGTGGAGCAGCAGACAGGGAGAGGGGAGGGAGTTGCTCAGCAGGCTCACGCCTCCGACATGTGCCGCGCGCAGCTCCGCCAGACCGCAGGATCTGGCTCGCTGAATGCGTGGAAGCAACACTTCTCCGTGTCTCTCTTTACAAAGCCCCAAACAATAACTGTCTGTCGCTGCACAGGAGCTTAGGAGAAACATAAGTTGCTATTGGCATGGTGCACGGCAGCCTTCCTCTTACACAACACCAGCAGATGTGAAAATAGCCCAGTGCTGCCTTGTGCATTCCTCTGACCTCGTGTTTGCTTCTGGATCAGATTCCAAAGCTGGATCTTAACCTACAAGAGCCATAAAAGCAAAGGATTTGGCCCTATCAGGGACCCCTTCATAATCTAAGACAGATGCGCTCCACGTAGAAGAACACGGTGAGGTTTATCAGGGCAGGGAAGAGGCTGAGGCAGGACCACCCTCTGCTCTACAGCACAGCCAGGGCAGCCCCTGCAGCGGCATTGCCCTGTGCTCCGGCTGACAATGCACTGGAGGTGGCTTAGGGACAGAAGAGCTGGAAGCTCTTGCAAGCCAGGACAGCACTCAAAACCTCGCATCCTACTGCTCAGCCTACACTGAAGCTGCCTCCAGCCCCCACCCGCCCCGGCAAAGGAGGCCCCAAGCCCAATGTCCTAAGGGTCATGGTGCTGCCAGAGTCAGCACAGCTTGGGTGATCCCCTCCAACCGTGCAAGGTGCTCCTGGTATTTCTCACCTGCTTGAAGAGCAGAGACTGACTCCAAAGCCAAACCCAAAATCACCCTGGGAAATACAGAGGGAAAAAGCATGTGGAAGAGAAATTGCTCCTGAAAGTATGAAAAGGTAGCAGGAGAATAAACTGAAGGATGCTAAAGACATGTGATAAGAGGGAGAGATCAGTAACCATCGATGAAAGGGCATCCCTAAGAACAACCTGCATAAATAAATTAATGTCTCCAGGGTCCCCAAGGGTATCCAGTATCTCTGCTTTGGAACGGCAGCAACCCCAAGCAGCAGAGGAACTTCCTAAGATGCAAGAGAAGAAAACAAGACAGGGCTATTGCTGTTGCAGGGGAAGGGATCAGTGAATGAGTTGTCCTCCAGGCAGCTCTGTGAGATACTGGGCTGCTGCCGGGGCTGTGCTGTACCTACGCTCCAGCAGTGCTCCCCTCTGACCCAACATGTGCTCATCCCCATGTTTCTTGGTGGAAATGTCACACGACAGAAAAGCCCTCGAGTCTGACTCATCCAGAAGTCTAAATCCTGCTCCTGGAAGCTCCAGACCCTCCAATCTCCCTGTGGTCCAGCCTGGGGAACAGCCCCTCCAGTGCTGCCACAACCTGCCCACAGGTGATGCTGTCCCTGAGCGGGTCACCCACCGGCAGCTGTGCAGGTGGGTTTGGAGTCTACAAGAAAGTTTTTAGCCAGCAGTGAGCCACCGACCACCAACTGCAGGCAGCTCACACATCAACGCACCGCAGGTTCCTACACAAGGAACTAACAGAACAGCCAAGCCGTGGTGTTTTGCCCCAGAACACCTCCAGCCCCACACACGCTGGAGAGATTTCTACCTCTGCACACAAAGCCACAGGGTAACAGGCAGCAGCAGAGGAGCATAATTCTAAGACTAACACATAGGGCAACCCGCAGATCACGGCTTGAACAGGAGGGCGAAAGGTGGCCTTAGAATATAATCCACTTCAGGAGCTCTTAAATCTCTCCAATACAACACAGAGCCCTTTAAGCAAAACTAAACAACTTTCTTTAGACTAAATAAATATTAAACCTAAGTGATGCATTAATTTACTCCAGTTCACCAAAGGCTAACTCCTACCCAAACTGATCATTATAAAAGAAATCCTATAATCCCTCACTCCCATTCAGGCTCAAAACATGTAATCCCGTGAATAAATCCAGAAAGAAAGTGTAACAAAACGGGCAATAAAAACTTACAGCATTCACATCTTTTCATCTACCATTAATACTGTAAACACTCACTCGAAGGCCCTCGAGTATGACTAATCTAATGTTTTGGCTCCCAACCCTGATCGACGAAGGAGCTCCACTCTCACTGTGACACCCAGCAAGCTCCACTGCCCTCCAGCCGCAGCCAGGACACCCCTGGAGTGCCCAGCGCAGCCATCCCCACCTCACATCCCACAGAATGCTGCAAAATCAGCACGAAATGGAGCAAGTATGGTTCTAATAGCACCAGAGTGCAGAGCTTTCTTTTTCCCCCCCCTTTTTTTTTTTATTATTTTATTGCTTTGGAAGCCTGCAAGCTCCAACTGTATAAATGCCAATAACTTTGTTTTAAGGCTGCTGAAGTAAGAGATCAGATTTTAGCAAGTGCTTTCCAGGCATCCAGCCAAACTTTTTCTGATTCACTAAAAGCACCAAAGGGAGGGGGAAAGGGAGGGGGCTGGAGGGCTGATTAACTTCAGTTACCGCACAAGCACAAAAAAATGTCTCCCCATTGCAAAGGGTGCTGGCGCTGTGAGCCCTGTGCAGCCTGTTATTCCTTGAGCTTGAAAAAAAATGCACCAGAGAAATAGAGCAAACACCTTCCAACCGCAGGGTAATTTACAGCTGTGGATCCTCTCCTGCTGAGGAGGCTACTCCACCGGGGGAGGCTCTGCTGGCGTTGGGTTCAAGCTGCAGTTTTTGGTGGGGATGAGGAAGAAAATGTGACCGGGGATTTTTTTGATGGGTGGGGGACCAGGGATGGGGCTGGTCTGGGTTTTAGCTTAGCCAGAGGGACAGAGCCCCCTCCAAGGCTGTGGCTGTGCTCATCCAGGACCATCCCTTGCTGCTATTGGGGATCTGGAGAGGGTGAGCAGGTGCAATCCTGGCCAACACATCACACGGGGCCAAGGGATGGCACAGGCATCTCCCAGTCCTGGGGGGATGGTGGGCTGGAGCCACTGGAGCAGCGGCACCTGCTCTGCCCAGCCCCGCAGCTGGGTCTGCTCCAGGATGCCCAGCTAAAATCCCTGTGGCAGTGAGGTGTGTGGCCATGGGGCTGTTGGGGGGCAGCTGCCATCCCCATCCCCATTCCGCGGGCGCCTGGGCTGTAGAGCTTCGCTGCTCAGGGTGTTCCTCCAACGGCTTCATTCCTGCCGAGGCAGGATCAAAGGCTGGAGCTGACTTGGACGGCGTTCTACTGAATAATGGGGAGGGAGCACACAGCCTCCTTCTCCTGGCTAAGGAAACTCGTGTTTTTCAAAGTATCAGTTTTTGGGAGCAAGTTCTCAAAGAGGGAAAGGGGGAAAAAAAAAGAAGGAAAAGAAAAGAAAAGAAAGAAAAAAAATAAAAAAGAGAGCGAGCAGGAGAGCGCCTGCTCTTCCAAAGCAAGTGCATCAATCAACATTGTGCAAGGAGAGTCCAGCACTCCCTCTCACATCATTAGCCAGGCTAATGCACTCCAGAGGATCCCGCTACGGCAGGCTACCGGCGCACCGGCTGCTCCTCAGCCTCGCACCGGCGGCAGAGCACAACCGGGCACGGAACGGGAGCTGAGGGCGAGGGGCAGTCCCGGTCCAGGGCAAGTGACACTCCAGCACCTGGTGTGGGGCTCGGTTTAATACGGCTATAAAAACTAGAGGGAAACAAGTGAAAGCCCCAGCCAAACCTGCCTGGCACTCGAGGTCAGCACGCCGCCTTTGTTTCTATTTTACAACCAAAAGCGAGAGAGGACAGAAAGGACACGTACCTGTACCTGAAAGCACAGCAGCAGGAAATGTAAACATCTGGAGAAGAGAAAAAAAAAAAAGCAACAAAAGATCAAATGATGTGGTAAAATGGTTAAAGTTGGGGGGGTTTGCTTTTTTTTTTTTTGCTTTGTTTTTGTTTGCAATTTTTTAAAGGGCACAGAGCGATGCTCTGCTTATAGAAAGGCTCGGGTCCCAATTACCACCTGGTTGCAAGGAAAATGCAACCGGAGACTCCAGAACGAAAGTTTAAAAAAAAATTTAAAGTATTTTTTAAAATTTAAAAATAATAATAAAAAATATTTAGAAATATGTCATAATCCTTACAGGCAAGTGCAGGCTGAGAGCAGTGAATACATCGCTGGGCGAGGAGGGGGTTGGCCGGCGGCTGGTCGCTAGCGGAGCGCAGTCCCCCGCCGCCGCGCTGACATGGGAGCGATCCGGCCGGCGAGCTCCGATCCGCGCCGCGCAGCTCCGCGCCGCTCCGCGCCGCCGGGAAGTTGTGGTACCGCCCGCTCTGCCTCCGCCGAGTGACTCGTCAGGCATCAGCTCTCCTCTCCCCCTGTCTCTCCTCCTCCTCCTCCTCTCCCTCTCTCTCTCTCCGCCTTTGGGGGGATGAAGGTGCTTATTGTCAGTAACTTCCGATCATCAGCAAGTGCCCCCCCCGCGCCCCCCCGGGCCGGGCCGGCCCCGCCGGGCGGATGGAGCCTCTCGGCCGCCGCCGCGCCCCGCTCCGGGCTGCGCCCCGCGCCCGCTCCGCGCTGCGGGCGGGCGGCATCGCGGGGCGCGGAGCGGGAGGCGGGATCCGCCCGGGCGGCCCCCGGGGCTGGCACCGCCTGCGCGGAGGGGGCACCGCCCGGCCGGAGGGTAGCGCCGGCCCGGGAAGCCTTTTTTTAAAAAATGAGGAAGGGAGGGGGCTCCGGCTGCCCCGCGCCCTCCCCGGCCCGACGGAGCGGGCGGCGCCGCTGCTCGCCCGGAACGCGAGGGGTCCGCAGCGCCCCAGCACAGCGGCCGCTGCCGCTGCCCCGCTCCGCTAACACGTGTCTCCGCTCCGGGGCCGGTCCGCCCTTACCTCCGAGCGGGCCCGAGCGCGTCCCGGCCCCGGCCGGCCGGCAGCGGGGCCCCGGCAGCCCCGGCGCGGCCCCCGCGGGCCGGGACACCCGCGCGGTGCATGGCCCGGCTCCGCTCCCGCGGCGGGACGCGGACGGCGGGTCAGGCAGCGCCGGGCTCGGTGCGGGCTCGGCCGGGCCCCGCTCCGCACGGCTCGCCTGCCCTCCAGCGGCCGCTCCGCCGCCCCGCACCGCCTGGCCCGCCGAGCCGCTTCCCCCGCCTCGCGTTTGGGGGGTTTTGATGGTTTTCGGTTTTTGGGTTTTTTTTATGTTAAGAAAAAAACTCACACACTGAGAGCGTGTGGTAACTCTTTCCCCGTGTCTGAAAGCTCGTTTATAGCAGATAAGATGCCAGGAACCGTTAACCTCCACGCATAGCCGAAGTCTCCACAGAGTGCCCAACGTCAGTTAACACCTTATTAAGTGAGAACATAACCATAGCTCAGAACGCTGAGCTTTCCAAATTCTCCACTCGAATAACAGCATCGGAACAGGGTGTCGGGCCCAGCTGCTCCCACTGCTGCAGGGACTGAGGCACTTGCTCCCCCAGCACCCTCAGCCAAAATCAAGTAGCATCTTTAATCTCTGGAGTTCATCACTGGGGACCCTTCAGGCACCAAGTCATGGGGGTTTTCAGCCCATGGTTTCAGGCCCAAGAGGCACAGGAAACATAAAGAAGTTTTAAGACAGTGATCAAAGTAAGTCCTTATAAAACCTCCAGCACTAACACACACCTATCTACCAGACTTCACACTTCTGGTCTTCTGAATCTGCAAGTCAAAAAAAAAAAAATAAAAAAAATCCACTGTCAGTTGCTGATGTCACCAACATCAGAGACCCCAGGCATCCCTGTCACGGTGGTCCCACAGCACCTTGCCACAGCTGAAAGCTGTTTTCACAGGTGCCCAGGACCATCAGAGTCACCATCCTGAACCCTACAAGTTGAGCTCACTGAGATGCCTACTCTGGAATGTTACAAACAGAATTTGGGCACCCTTAAGATTACAGTATTTAGCTTAGATGTGAAAATATTCCATATATTCCTAATCACCCCCAGTACCTGATTTCCTGGCAGCTCTTTGGGTGGGAGAAGCCCATCCTGTAGCATCTTATGCTATTGGGTGCTGCTCAGTCAGCCACAGGAGAGGCACCCATGGCATGGGGTCAAGCCCAGTGTTCCATATGCATCAGCCGCCCAAGGAGCCCCTGCACAGCACACACAGGAGCCAGAGGCAATAACTCCTCTGTGACACTCACAGCCACTCGTACTCACCTGTGACCACAAGCTTTGGTTGTTCCTCAGGCTTTCCATCGTGGCAGCCCCATCACCTGCCTCCAAGAAAAGGCTCCTTAAACAGCAACCAGTGGCCCAGTACCCAAGCTGGCCCAGGGCTGCTGCACCTGGATGGAAGCAGAAAAGCTAGAAAAGGAATTTGAAGCTGCTGCTAACCTTCATAATTTTAATTGCCCCACAACAGCAGGGAAAGTTAGAGCAGCTACAGCAGAGCTGTCAGCTACACATGGAAAAACTCATCACAGGCGATGCTGGCCCAGCCCATGCTGACACACCAAGTGACCACCATAACCCGATTGAGGACGAGGGACTTGGATCCACACAAGGCAGAAGGCACCTGGACACCTCAAACAGCACAAACTACCAGGGCAACACCAGGGATTGTTTTAAGGAGGGCACATGAGGTGTCTTCTTTTTTCAGTTATTTCATTTGCAATCACACAAGTTCTTTATTTAAACTAGATCCATGTTTTGTGCCTCATTAGTCTGGCAAAACTGTTTAATCTTTAATATCCCAATAGTTACCTGGAGAATAATACCAATATTGGGTGAATCTCAGGCTACCAGCCTTGAAGAACACAGATGGGCACAGAATAGAGATGAGGCAGCTCGTATGTATCTCTGAAAAAACAGAAATATAATTTAGCTGCATGTTGTTATGAATGTGTGTGTACATATATATATATATATGAAATATTCAAAGCTCCACAGACAGACCTGTTGCTCCACTGCTGAAGGCTGCCGTGTGATCCGATTCCCAACACAAATCGAGCCAGAACAGCCGATGCCCACTGTAAAACCTTTAAAGCTGTTTATTTTTCACACAGCACATTCCATGTGTGAAGGCTGGTGCAGCAGGTTCCTGAGAGCTTGATCTTCTCAACACTTTATTAAGCAAGACACAGACCAGGTTGGTCCGTGCAGCGCAGGGTGTCCCTGGGAGCTCTCAGGCTTGCTGCCTCCCACTCACCCATGCAAATGCCTGAATTAAGGCTGTCTCCTACAGTGCCTCAGTGGCTTATTGGATTAGTGGCCGCTCTGCAGCAGCTCAAATTGAAGTCTGAGCAGCATGACCTTTCACTCGCAGGGCAGTGAAGGTGCCCCTGGTGAAATGAGCTTCCCTTGCCCTGCTCCAGTGGTCCATATCACACGAGGAGTGGGCATTTCACAGAGCACGAAGCCCTTTCAATGGAGCCAAGGACTTAAGAGTATGCTTGAGTGGGAAACCTTCCCACCCCCTAGAGACCCCTTTGGAATGTGAATGAGAAGCCAGCAGGAAAGGCCAGCACAGGATCTGGCCCCGCTGCATCTGGAGTACCAAGACTTAAATTAAAATGAAAAAAACTGGTCTGATGTTTTATAAAGACCAAGTTCAGCTCTACATCCCAGCCCTGCCACTGGTGAGCAAACCTGTGTGCTGTTTGCTCCTGTCATCTGCATCCTCAGCCTTGTGCTGTTTCAATAAGAAGTCCTTAGTGAATATCAGATGGAAGAGAGTTTCTGCAATTGAAACTCCAGGTAAAAGCAAAGACAACTTTTAGACTGGCTGGGGCGCATGTTCTGTCTTTCTCCAGTTTACACACAAAAAGGCAATTCCTTCCCAAGGTAAGAAACACTTCTGCCACATAGTCTGGACAGGGAGAGAGGGGATGCATTGCAGTTACCATCATTTGACAGAAGAGCCACCTCAAAACAACCCTGAACTGATGCCCAGGAGGACAGAACTTCAGCCTCAGCATCATCACATTCAGCCACAGTCTTGCAGAATATGGTGAAGAACAGTCAGGATTTGGATTCAGCCATCACAAAGCCTCAGGCTAAAGCCCTGATTTGAAGCACTGGAAGCACAAAGCACAGAACCATGTATAATATGTAAAAACACAGAACAGTTTGGAATGGAAGGGACCTTCAAGATCATCTCATTCCATGCCCTGCCATGGGCAGGGACACCTTCCACTAGCCCAGGTTGCTCCAAGCCCCATCCAACCTGGCCTTGGATCCAGGGGCAGCCACAGCTTCTCTGGGCAACCTGTGCCGGGACTCACCACCCTCACAGGGAAGAATTCTTTCCCAATATCCCATCTAACCCTGCCCTCTGGCAGTGGGAAGCCATTCCCCCTTGTCCCAAGTCCCTCTCCAGCTCTTTAGGAGCTCCTTTAGGCACGGGAAGGGGCTCTCAGGTCTCCCTGGAGCCTTCTCTTCTCCAGGTTGAACAACCCCCAGCTTTCCCAGCCTGTCTCCATAGCAGAGGTGCTCCAGCCCTCAAAGCATCTCCATGGCTTCCTCTGGACTCTCATATAAGTGAAATTCCCATGAAAATTCTGCAAACCTTTTGTAAGTCATCAGTGTGGTGGATGGCAGTGTGGCCACTCACACATGGATACTCACATATGGGAGAACAGAGAAGGTGGTACAAAACAAACCAACCCACATTTTGTAGATTCAAATGCATTCCCTGAGACAGAGCCCTTTGGTGTTCGGAAATTTTGTAGTGGTGCAGCCTTGGCTAATCCCTGGTGAAGGACCTGTGGGCCATCAAACTGAAGCTGCGAGGCTGGAAAGCTGCTGGTGCTCAGCCCCTGAAGCTCAGAGATTTCCCTGCATGCCAAGAGGGAAGGCCCACTTACCAGTTAACTCCGGATGGAAGTTAGGTTTTAGCATACTGAAGTTTTTCTCCTGGATATAAATAAACTATGGAGGAACAAAAGCAACCCAAACCATTCGTTGTCAGCTTTTACACACAGATTTCACCAAGCCCTGAGACAGATGAAGAGCCTGGGAGATAGCACAGACCCAAGGTGTGTCTGCATTCACTACGCTGGTTCCCTGGACTTTGAAAGCACATGGAGATGTAAGGAACTACATGAACAAAGGTGTAAATACAGTGAAGGCAGAAATGCTGAACTCCCACACCAAGCATTTGAAACACTATCAGAACATGCATAGCAGCTTTCCTTCAATAGACCGAAAAAAGAAGCCACACCAGTGCGTTTGTTGCTGGGTGCCCTATGCTCACACTTTTTTAGCTTGTGACCATTGAGCTGTTTCATAAACCCCACAAATCCAACACCAAGCTGAAACACGTGAACTGCACCACACCACACCAGCCAGGGGGGATGGCACCAGGAATCAGAGGCTTCAATCCTGCAAATACAAGCATCAATCCCCTGCAGTAACCCAGCACCTGGGTGGGTTGGGGCCTGGAGACTGGCACTGTTGAGGCGCAGGTGTGGCACGACCCCATTGTTCCAGCAAGAAATATTTGCTATTTAATCGCTGCTGGAAAGCCCAGCTGGAAGGAGGTGAAGTTTATCCAGTCTGGAGGCTGGATAAAGGCAACACAGCCATGACCCAGAATTAAGCTGAGACTATCTGTGAGGAATGATCTCAAGTACCTCAATGGTGAGTGAGAGCTCACACAGATGTATCAGCCCAGCTCTGCTGGAGTTTTCCGTGCTGTGACTAGGGCAGGCTTCTTTTGGCCACCAGGAACTCCTGCCTTGGAGAACACAGGCTGAAAAGGCACTTAATGCATGCCAAATATAAACAAGCATAAAACAACAGAATAATGGAATAATATAAGAAATACAAATAATAGGATAGCAAGCACGGCAGCTTCATTCTGCAGCATTAATAGGAGGGACAGCAAACTGTGGCAGCGTTCTGTGGACTGGAGGGGAGGAAGCTCGGACAAGGCAGAGCACCTAATCCTGGAAAAAGAGAGGTGGCCAGGAAATCCCGAAAGCCACTAGCAACAAGCCTGGTGCTGCAGAAAGGCCATCCCAACTCCAGAGAGAGCAGGAATGCTCCCAATAGCTTCTGCAGGTAACAGCCTTTCCTGGACTTCTTGGGAACAGAGGCAACCACAGCATCCCTTCCAGCTCTAGACCACATGGGTGTCTCATGGCCTCTTGCAAAGGGAGAACCCACCGCACTACAACCCTTACTCTGATCTGTATCATTTGTAAAAGAAGATAAACTCAACACAGCCTCTTATTCAGCAGACAGGGTTTCAGAGTTTGCCAAAGTTTTCCCCT